GGGGGGGGGGGGGGGGGGGGGAACTTGTCTCACCCACCCCATGCGCCTCGCCTTGCAACCAGGCTGCTTCTTTCCATTTCTTCTTCAGCTTTTGGCTCCACGCAAGGAAAGCAGCAAAAGTCTTTCTTTCTCTGCCCCAAACTCTGCCAGAGATGAGTATTTGGGACTCTCTGCAAGGCATCCAGCTTCAAGAGGCTGCACTGGCACAAGTCTCACAAAGACTCATTTCTGGTGGAGTTTGTGAGAGAGAAAGACTTCCGCTGCTTTCCTTGCATGAAACGAAAAGTCTCTCCCCCCCTCCCCCCCCCCAAGAACGGATCGTATCCTGCGATCCCAAATAAAGAATGATCACTCAGTAGAAAAACAGGGTGGGGAATTTTCTTGCAGACTTTTTTGGGCATTTTCTCAAGGTCTCTTGTCCACGGGATTTAAAATTATGAGTTTGGTGGTCCCTCAGGTCCAAAAGGTTGGCAACCCCTGTTCTACAGCATCTCAATACTTTTTTAAAAATATAATACATTTCCCATATATCTTAGAGAAGATCATAATATCATGTAATATGACATATGGTTATCCTGCTTGAGCAACTATATATGTTTTATCAGCTTTAATTTCAATATTTTATCAAATGCTTTCATGGTCTCAAATTCTCTAAGTTAGACTACAATGTGGTGGCTTACATCAGGGGTCCCCAACCCCTGGTCTGTGGACCGGTTCCAAGCTGCAGCATGCCAGAAACTGAGCCACACAAACAAGTGAGGCCCCATCCACGGAATGCAGGCAGCATGCTAAACCATGCCCCCTCTGGTTTGTGGGAAAGCCTTTCTCCATGGAACCTGGTGCCCAAAAGGTTGGGGGCTGCTGGATTACATGGTTAGGACACTGGGTTGGAGGTTAGCTAGCAAACCTGCCTTCAGATTTGAAGGCAAGTTTGGGCTGAGGGCTGCTATGGACTGCTGCGTGGCAGGGTCAGGTCCCATCATTCGCTCCAGCTCTACAGGTGTCTCCACCCCCACCCTGGGCAATGGTGCTATTATCAGCTAATCCCTTCAATCAGAAGCTCCTTAAAATTGACAGGGGTACAGCAAATGGCCAGGCCTTAGGTATATTAAAAGTGAAGCCTTCAATAGTTCATTGCCTCTTTAAAATCTTTTTCATGTTGATAAGGGGAGGGACAGACAGAGTGCTGATAAGGAAGTAAATACAGCTTTGTTGGAACTTAGATAAGCAGGAAATTAGAGTTTTTCAGTGGAGGATAGCAGATTATTTTGGGCACAGAAACACTTCTCTAAGCTTATGATAGCCTCCTGTAAACTCTCATGGCCTCCTGTAAACAGATGAGAAACATGCGTTTACTCTAGGGGACTTTGGGGTTTAGCAATTTCTTTCAATTTTATATTGTTTTAGCTTGTATTTTTGTTTTAATAAGCATGTTTTGTAAAAATAGCTAGGAGTTCATCTAATATTATGTGTTCAGATAAATTTAAGAAATAAATACTGCTTGGATTTTTTTTAAAAAATGAGTAAAATCAGAAATTTTCTGATGCTTATAATGCTTTCATTTGTAAAATAGTTAAAAGGATTTATCAAACCATCCCAAATTATTTTTCTAACCCTTCCCTTGCCCTCCATAAAACTCCAGAGTAAGTGGCTTTGTGCAGTGGGGTGGGGACTGCCTTTGAGTCAGTTTTTGACTCCTGGAAATTCCCTATTTTCCGAAGTGGTTTCCCATTGCCTGCTGAACTGCCCAAGGTCACCTAGGGGGCTTTGTTCCTAAGGCAGGACTAAAATTCAACTGTTTTCTAGACTAGTGCTTTAACTACTCCACCAAACTGGCTCTCATTACTGGCTGTTATTCCCTGTAAATAACTTGAGTTCAAAACCTTTGTTCAAACATTACATGACTGTTAAGCAATGTTTACTAATTTGGGGGATGAGGCAAAGGTTATTTATTTTAACCTGTTATTTGATGATGTTATTAGCATCCCGAACTACATCTTTTCTTCAAATAATTTTATTAAGGTTTGCAAATTGAAAGGATAAAATAAAATAAAATTACAACAAATATCAAAAAGAAAATAAGAGTAGAAAAAAGAAGACTGAATTATACCCTTATCCTTAACAGATGGTTTCAGATATTTAACAATTCAGTGAAGGAGAGAGAGCAGTAGCTGAGAAAGGGATAATATTTTTGCATTGTTTTAGTTTGCTATTTATCACTCTCTGCAGAAATTAATAACCCCGGCAACTGTAAACCGTAAGCATGATTTCTTCTCAAAAACACTATGTAATTGTAAGGGGAGGGATCAGGTCTGCATTCCATCTTAATGGAATGTGGATAGATAGAATGCATCTCAACACAGTAATTCAGGAGAGACAAGCATCCAAATAGCAATCAGTGTATTACAGCTCATCAGATGTTAACTCTTTTCCTCTTCATGGTTCTGTCATATTCTGCTAATCCCTGCATCAGATGGACTGCTGGAAAGAGCTGCATTTGTTTGAAGGGTAATAATCTGGAGCCATCCTAAGCACCAGATACAGTAGCTCTTCTGATGGTTGCTTCTAAAGGGATGAAGAAAACACAAATACACAATTAAGATTTTCTTTCCTGTACTTGAAAAGAATTCAGTGGATTAATTGGACTAGGTTTCTCAGTTCATGGTCCAGTCACATGAAAAAAGAAAATATGAGCAAATGCTACACAGAGATTTGCGTAATTTAATAGGCCTGCAAATTCTGCTGTTTATACTTTATATTGAACTTTTCTCTTAGTTTTGAATGATGCTACACATTTTAATAAAATTTTAAATTTGATGTTTAATATATCCTGATTGGTATATTTGAAGATTGAATATGATTGACAACAGATTGTCAAGTTCACTAGAGCAGTCATGCAAAATAGCTGTGCCTAATGGCTGATGTATGATGTGATATATCTAAGGATATAGTGATCGTTTCAAAGCATGTTTCTAGTATTATTGCAAGAAATTCTGTGCTTATTGTGTTTCTTATTATTTGGATATCTTTTAAAAGCAGACTCTTATTATTCAGTACCATAATTGTTCAGTTATCCACCCAGGAATACAGTCACATGAAAAAGGAAGTATACCCCATTGGAATGTTCCACTTTTTCAACATATTTCAGCATACAGATATTTGATCTTTAATAATATTGATGATATAACAATTTTTCACCATTTACATTTTGTAGTCCATTGTGCAATTTAATTGAATGTAAATGCAAATTTTGCACAGTACACTGTGAGTTTTTTCTTTCTTTTTTATCATACATGGACATACCAATATTTTGTTTTCATTCAAAAAGTATATTTTATTTATTTGTCAAGTTTTGAAATTACCAATCTCTCTCACAGAGGAATTGCAACAAATAAAAATTCCGGTGTACAAATAAAATATTACAATATAAAAACATAAGATTTAAAAAGAGGCAAAGATGATTAAAAACTAATATTAAAAGGAAAGGGGGAGGACTTTCGGGGCACTAACCACCTTGACAGCTATCTGCTCTTCTGTGAGCCCAAAGCAAGCCATGTTTTCATACCTTTCTGAGAGGCCAGGAGAGTGGGGGCAGGGCTCATCTTTTGGGGGCATAAAGAGAGATAGTCTAATTGAACAAAAAGCTATACAAAATGACTTTGGATCATTTATTTAACAAAAAAATTAGCAGATATGCTATTTCATTCTGTAGAAAAAGTAAGCACAACCTTGACTCAAATACAGTGACTTCTCTCCCCCCCCCCCATGTGTATGTATGTTATATGGTAGGATACGGCTGCAGTATTATTATTTATCCCCTTTATTATTTTTTACTTCTCTCTTTTATTATCTGTAAACTTTAGTGTTTATTAATGTATTCCACTGTTTTGCAAGTACACTGAGTACTTCTGTGTTGTAGACAAAGTCCTTGAGCGTCTAACCACACTTGGCCAAATAAATGAAGTATAAGTACACTCTAATCCAGGGGTGGGCAAACTACGGCCCGCGGGCCACATCCGGCCCGTTGGTCTTTTTAATCCGGCCCGCCGAAGATTGGTACAGAATTAAGGTTTGATGTGAATGATTGAATGATAGCATTCATTTGATTTTGACTTGTAATGATAGGCATTTCGACACCAGGTGGCGGCCCGTCTGTCAAATTTTAAAAGTCAATGAGGCCCCCTAGCCAAAAAGTTTGCCCACCCCTGCTCTAATCCCTGCTATTGCTCCCTTTGGCAGAAATAATCTCAAATACACATTTCTTATAACTGTCTATCACTCTCCAAGATAGACTGAGAGGATTTTTTTTCCCATTCCTCCATGCTGGTGGAGGTTATTCCAACTGTGCAATATCTGGGAAGGTTTTTTGCATGCATAGGCCTTTTCAAATCACCCCACAGCATGGTGGGTTTCCTGGAATGTTTAGAGTCATGTTGCAAGGTTCACTTTCGACAGAGCTTCAATTTTCTAACAAATGGTCTCAAGTTATCTAAACACCCTCTGGAACAATGAAGAATTCATAGTGCATTTTGTGATGGTGATCTCCCCCGGCCTTGAAACAGCCCCAAACCATAACATTTTCACTACCATTCTTTACAGTTGGTATAATGTTCGTCTGGTGAAATGTTGCCTTTGGTTTTCACCAAACGTGCCCTGATACTGTGGCCAAATAATTTTATTTTATTTTATTTTTTTGCCTTGGCTGCTGAGAGCACATTGTTCTAGAAGTCCTGGTATTTGTCTAGGCATTCATGAGCAAACTTGCTCTGATGTGTTCTTTTTGGGCAGCAAAGATTTCCTTCTGGCATACTTCCAATGTATATCTGTGCAGTTTTCTAATGGTAAATTTATGTCCTTTAACATTAGTAGTGATGAGACAGACTTGTGGGTCACATGAAAATATGGGATTCTTTTTTCAGCAAAATAATTCTTCTAGTGGGTTAAAGTTGCTGAGATGGCCTGGCCTGACCTGGCCAAGTTGACAGTTGTTTGAAATCTCCTCTTATAGATGATTTTCTGGACAATTCTTGTGTGCACCTAGTCCTAATTTTAGATAACTCAGGTAGTGATAAATATAGGGATGTTTTTACATTTTCACATACATTTGTTTATTTGAATTATAAAATGCACTACAAAATGTAAATGTTCGTGATATGTGTTATATCCTCTTTATCAATATCATTGAAATGGAGATCAAATGTCTCTATATTGGAAAAGGAAAATATTTCAATGGGGTGTACTTTTTCACATGACAATGGATTGATTTGAACCATAAAAATACTCTGCCAAAACAGAAAATGAATACAATAAAAAGATGGCTTCCATTAGACATTGAAGATATTTTGCCCAAAATACTTATTTCTAGCCTTTAGAAATTCAGATTCCTGTCTGTTTGCTTTATGCCTGCAGATGTACACTTTTACTTTCATTCAGTTATTTGATGAAACAGTTATGTGATGTTATATACAGATGTTATATTATATTGAAGTCATGTTAATCAAACAATTGTTTCTGATCAATTTTAAATCATATTCTAAATTTTTTTTTACAAGATTTGAAAACTAATTAATCACTTTTAAAATTAAAAATGCTCCAAAGAGTGCTTTGATTTGACTTTTAGCATGTTAGGAATTGAGCCTTTTGCAGTTCTAATTTTATCTGTTCTTTTTGGTTTCCTTTAGCAAAGCACCAGCCAGTCAGTGAGAGTCAAAAGGTCATTGAATCTGAGAAAGCAGATGTTCCAGATGTGCATGATCATAACCACAACCATGACCATTCAAGATTACATGCTTACATTGGTGTTTCTCTTGTTCTTGGCTTTGTCTTTATGCTGCTGGTAGATCAGATTGGCAGTTCTCACGTCCACACTGCAGATGGTAAGCCAAAGTTTTTCTAATAGGCAATCAAAATGAGAACAATTATTTGGAAATATTCAAATAACTAAATATTTGATACTGTGAATATGATACTGTGAATATGAAAAAAGATGGGGATGAATTTTGGAGCAAAATAACATTATTTTCACCCGTATGATTTTGCAACCCAATGTTTGCTCAAAAATTTACACCCTTAATGGTGAAAGAAAATAGTGTACATGAGTCCTCACATAACAACTCATTGGAATGGAAATTTCTATCGCTAAGTGATACAGTTGTTAGGTTAAATATCACATGATTGCACCGCTAAGTGGTGACAGATTTAGTAGTTCTGGTTGTGGCTAGGAGTATGCTATCCTTAGGCAAAAAGTTCACCCTTGTCCTGCCCTGCTGCTCTTGCCTCCACTGCAACTCCCCATCTGCCTGTTATCTCTCCCCGCTTCCCCAGACTCTGCCCTTTTGGCCATCCTGCGGTCGGCTGGGCTTTCCTAGTCTTACAAGGACTCATGTGGCCAGAAGCTGCTTTGCAAAGGGCCAGGTCAGAGGCAGTGGAATAAAGGGTGGCTAAAAGGGTAATAATGGAGGGACAGATAGGTGGTGGGAGGAATTGAAGCATACTGTTATATGGTTGTAAATGCAGGTAGGCTTCTAAATTTTAATTGTGACCACAGAGGTGATTTCACAGCTGTAACTTTATGGACCAGCCATAACTAACATTGCTCAACACTATCATAACTTCAAATTGTCACTGAATGGCCATTAAGTTAGGACTTTAGAAATTAGGAATTTAGAAATTGTAGAGATTGGAATTTTTAGAGATTTTTTGGAAAATAAACAAATGAGCTTCTAGCTTTAAATGAAATTTAATAAACCCATGAGTAATTTTTTTTCTTGTGTAAATAAACCTTCTAACTGGTTAAACAAACAACTATTGTGATGGTTCAATTCAGTGTAGTAGATTTGCCTGAGATTTCTGCTAAAAACAAAGTAAATGGCAGAAAGTGTTTATTTTAACCAGAAATACTTGAACATTGAATATTGAGCACTGAAACATTGTGCTTGGTTCTATGCAGGTACCTGTGGAGGCATGTCTTCCGCACCAAGCCGCAGTATTTTGATATAATAAGCATGTCACAGAGAACATAATTCCATCTTTAGTATATTTCTTTAACCCATAACTAACCTACTGCCAATCATAGTTACATTCTACTTGACAGGAACTAAACCTAATCATTGTTAAACCATGTAAAAGTGATTTGGAGCCCGTGCTTTTCTGATCGCTCCATCTAACAGCTGCATTTCAAAGCTCCTGTTTGATATTTTCACTGTTTAACAATGGTTACCTGTCAATGTTAATTTGCCTCCACCCTCTTGGCCTTCCAGATGGGACTTAAAACCTGGGTCTGCTGATTGGCCTGGGTCCTGATGGGGGCGTTGGTGTATTAAGAAAAGATCCTGCTTCCACCCCATTAGATATTGCTTGCTTCTTAATCTGTATTAATTTTAATATGTATCACTTTAATATTGTAATGTTTTATATTACCATTTTTATCTTGTTGAAAGCCACCTAGAGTCTCCTGATGGCAAGGTGGGCATCATATAAATTTAATAAATAAATAAAATATTAAACAGCATCTTTCAAAAGGTTTCAATTTCATGGAATATTCCATCCTCTTAAATGGGAAGAAGGGAAAGAAGGAAGGAAAGATACAAAGGCACTGAGAAAGAATTAATAGAGATAATTTAGTTTGATGAAAAATTGTTATTATAATCTGTTCACAATAAAGTCATAACTGCCAGTTCTTTAGCTGGTGTTGGCCTTCTTATTCATCGATTTCCTCCTAAGAACCTGGAATGTCTAATGTATCAGCATAGTGTATAGTGTACGTATATTATCCTATATAAAAAGCCTCTAGAACTCAGTCTTCTAGTTTCTAGGCCATCGCTGTAATCACTTGACTAAAGTGGCTTTTTAACCTATATTAACTTCTATTTTAATATTAACTTTTCTAATGTTTCTTCATTTCAGTTTCTGCTCACACTCTCTTATTTATGTCTTTTTGACTAAGATTTCTTTATTATTTCAGACCCAGAAGCAGCAAGGTCGGGCAATTCCAAAATCACTACTACACTAGGACTAGTTGTCCATGCAGCAGGTAAGTTAATGTTATTGGTTGGTTATGTTTTTCTTTTTAAAAAATGATGCAGGTATTGTCAAGTTATGGGAGTTAGGGTTAAGCTATAATTGCATGACATTATCCCAGTACTTACTGCTACTAATAATGGAATCATGCTGTGGACCTTCTTTTTATTCTTCTCCCCAAGTTTAGTCCACCTTGAGATAAGAGAGCAGGGAAGAGACTAAACTGAACTGCAGGAATATTTGCCTATGATTCTCTGCAGCTCAGGGCTATGGTGATTTTTAATAGGAAAATACATATTTCATCCAGTCTATAGGCTTTAAGTTTCTGGAGCTTTATTTCTAATAAAAAAATGTTAGTCCTCTAGAATTACATTTGGAGACAAATCTTCTTAAGTTTTTTTTAAAAATCTAAACAAATATTTTTACTTTGTTTCTGCAAAACCATTACAATGTAAAGTTCAAAAATATTGTGGTTTTGCATTTTTTGTATATTATAATATGAATTACTGCTTCTCTCTTGCTACTGTACTGTACTTAACTACAAGTGCACTGTAAATAAATTTGCTGCTGCTACTTTATACATTTGTTTCAAACACTGTAGCAATATATCTGAATTTTTAGACCCTATATCTCCTGCCCTAAAACATACATTCCCTTTTCAACTTTTAGAATGAGTTTTAGAACTTTAAATCCCCAATTAGTTATGTAAAGCAAAATTGACATTTAATATACCTAGATTTCACAATGAATCTACTGATAATTTAAGGAGGAAAGTTATTAGTTGTAAATTTATTTCTTCATAATGTTGGTTTAAAAGGCCAGCCTAGCTCAAAACTGACTCACAATTTGCTCTGTGTTAGGTGACCAAGCCATGAAGGACTGTGACAAAGAATTCTCAGTTCAGGAAAGGGCATAGTTGGTGCATCAGATGAAGCAAGGGCTTTCCTGATCATAGCTGGTTCTTGCTCAGAGAATAGAAACTGTGAATCCAGGAGAACCTAATTATGCACCACCCCTGAATGGGGAAATACACCAGAAGAACCAAAAATATAGCAACAAAGCATGTTTTAGCACAATGTTGCAAAGAACTAAACAAAACTGTTGGCTATGTGACCATTCCTGATTCAAAACTGTTGCCATGGATCTACTCCGAAACATAAATATTAAAACCATCAGCAGGAATGGGAGAGCAGGTTAAGATAAGAGAATCAAGTAACAGACTTACTCTTGTATAATTTAGCTCCACTAACTCTTTGATCAGTGGATGGATTCACTATTGTGTGGCTTGTTTTTCCTTCCTCCCTCATTAAGCTGATGGTGTTGCCTTGGGTGCAGCTGCTTCTACATCTCAGACTAGTGTCCAGCTAATAGTGTTTGTTGCAATTATGCTGCATAAGGTAAGTTTTGAGTATGAAATTTTTCCATGCTTCTTTCATCAGTGAATGATATTTGTTATTAGGCATCATAGACTTCAGTGAAGTACAAAAGCTCTTTAAAAATATCTGTGCACTTTTTAAAGCATTTCTGTTTGCTTTTGTATTTAGGATTGCATCTAGGAGTAGAGGTATGCAGTTATGTACTGTGTAGGTGGGAGTTTTGTGCTAGCCCAGTAATAACATGTAGTAAGTAGCAATTCTTCTTACTGATGAATTTAATGTACTTAGAAGATACTTTATATACAGCTAATTTTGATTAGAATCACATAGATCTTGTATAAGAGATAGTGGCTAATTCTGAACAATTACTGGGCCTGAAACTATACTAATTTTATATTTTGGATTTCTTGTTATAGTAACAGGGCCAAACAATCTCTTTGATTTTCCAGAATTACATTCTAATTTAACTAAATTAGAGATTGCTGCCATAGAAATTGTATTTTCACAATATGCCGTGGTACATGTTTGTAATCACAAAATTACCTGAATGCAAACGAATAAGATTGCTACTCACCAGCCTCTTTAGCTCTCCACAATGCTTTTATCATAATAATCTGTATGTATTATTTTAATATTAAAATAAGAATTTTAGTATTGGTTTTTTACTAAAAAGTATTTGTTAATCAGAATTAACTTTTTTCAATTGTATGGCGTATAGTGTTATAAGGAAGAGGAAAGCATGTATTTTTATTATACTCGAAGTGTGCTATCCTCCCCATTATAGTATTTTAGTAGCAACTCTACTATCTCACATTAAGGAAGTGCTATACTGATGATACATTATACTCCACCAACAGAAAAAACTTAAGGAAGGGCTCAGTAATGTGCTACTGGCATTTGATCTTACTAAACATTCTATTTTGCAAATGAAGGGAGTACAGCTTGTTTTATACTTGAGGATTACATATTTAATTTCTTTTATGTTGTAGGCACCTGCTGCTTTTGGGCTTGTCTCGTTTCTTATGCATGCTGGCCTTGAACGAAATCGAATCAGGAAGCACTTGCTGGTTTTTGCACTAGCAGCACCTGTTTTGTCAATGGTAACTTATCTGGGATTAAGCAAGGTAAAACAGCTGTGAAACATGAATCAGATTAATCATATTTACCAGCCAGTTGTGCATCAGTATGTTTGTTAGGGAAGCAGTATCTCAGATGCATAAAAATATTTGGTATTTTGTTTAACAGAGCATTTTTGCTGGATTATGAATTGTTCTTTGAGTGAAAGTAGTGCATACAAAATGCAATTAATTGGTCTTGTGTTGACTTTTTTTTTAAACTAACTTCAAATTATGGATTTTATATAAGTCATCTGTCAGCATTTAGATTTTTTACACTGACAACAATTTGCAGGGTAAATTTCCCATTGGTAGTAGACGATTTTAGATCTCTAGAACAGAGGTCTCCAACCTTGGCAACTTTAAGACTTGTGGACTTCAACTCCCAGAATTCTCCAGCCAGCTCTGCTGGCTGGTGAATTCTGGGAGTTG